CAGGGATGTCTGATAAAGATTTAAAGATTCTGAGTCTTTGCCTTTTGCAACGCTTCCTTTTAGCCTGTGTACTAGAGGGTTTGTGTTCTATTACCCCAAAACAATTTCTACAGTGTATTAAAGGCTGCTTAGTTTTGACTTGGACTAGTTTACAGCTACTACAATAGCTTTGAGGAATGAGATATGTATAATGAGGACGACCAAAAAAAAAAAAAAAAGAGCTGAAAGGCTTTATATCTAGAAGTCACACTTTCGGGGGGAAAGAGTGACTTGAGGTAGCACACGATAAGACAAGGCTGTTGAATGCAAGAGTTGCACACCAGGTTTCCAAACCAGTATTGTTAATACTGGTTTAATACCAGCGCAGATGCGACTTGCAAATACGATGTCTTGGGTGCTCAAGGAATTTTTTTTTTTTTTCCCTTAACAGAGAAGTTTCTGTAACCTATTTCTAAGACACACCTGAAAAATTTAGGACAGAGAAGAGACACGCAGCATGCACTGTATGTAAACACAGAGGAAGAGTCTGTCAGCAACAACTCTAATGTTTCCTCTGTTTCCTGTTTCCTCTTCACTGTTCTGTGGCAGGACTGGGAAGGTAACATACGCTACGCGCAATACAAGCAATTCACCCTGAGCAACGAATTAAACAGCTACCGTCTTTTTGTGGGGAACTACACTGGCAACACAGGGCGCGACTCCCTAAGGTACCACAACAACACAGCCTTCAGCACAAAGGACAAGGACAATGACAAGTGCGTGGATGACTGTGCCCAGTTCCGTAAAGGTAAAGCACACACAAACGCTTTCCCAGCCTGAGCGAGCTGCCTGGGTAATCTGCAGAGAGCCTAAGACTCCCTCTTTCTAAGTAACTAGTATCTGGATGGCAAATCAGGGAAACTGTGAGCATTTCTGGAAAAAACACATCAGTTACATGGGAAATACGGCAGTTAAAGCCGATTTACATAGCCAGCCTGTATGCTATAGACATTAGCATTTTTCAAACGAGTTAGCGTTACGCTCTCATGTCCTTGGTCAATATCTCACCAACACCTACTGCTATCTAGCGCATTATTCTTGACTTGCCTGCTAGATTATCTCAGATGCTGATACATTTCAGTGATGTAGGAAGTTATTCCTGTTTATCTACAAAGATTTAATTTTTTCTCACATTTTTATTATGTTTCAAGTTCCAAAAAATACAGATGTTGGGGACTTGTGATTATTCTCCTGGGGAGCTACATGCACCTCAAGGTTCAACCTGAACTCCCATCTTTATTCCGACTCTACTAAGAGCCCCTAATGAAGTTACTCTTTTCATTCAGTTTAGAATCTTTATACGAGGTCTGCCACAAAGATCATTTCTTGTTCGTTGCTCCTTGTTCTTTTAATTTCCCATTCTGCCTCCACGCAACATGGGACTAAGATTGCTGACACACAGGCCTCATGACAAAATAACACTGCTTAGTTGCAGAGTCCAGAAGCCTTCCAACTACCTTAAAACGCCCAAGCTAAAAACCCAATTTAGTTTCCTATGTTAATTCTCAAAGTCAGAGACAGAAAAACAGGGCAAGGAAACGTTTTAAGATGAAAAAGCAACTAAATGAAAAGCTACTGGAATAAGTTGACTATGTAACTATAAGGCCTTTCTGTGCTTAGTATATGCCTGGACTCTTGAAGGAATCGTTCAGCAGATGCTACGTTTTGAATCCATCTGTAACGCCAGCTATTAGGGACATGGCCTCCAGGGATTAAATGCTGCACTCTGACCACCACTCTCTTTGAGGAAGGGCAATAATTCATATTAAAAACACAGAATATACCTGTCTTCTTAAAAAAAAATGGCTCACTAGCAATCTATTAATTTGTTTTCTGAAAAGGTGGATATTGGTACAACTGCTGCACGGATTCCAATCTGAATGGGGTTTACTACCGCAAAGGAGAACACACCAAAAACATGGACGGCATCACCTGGTATGGCTGGCATGGATCCACCTACTCCCTGAAAAGGGTAGAGATGAAGATACGGCCAGAGGATTTCAAACCCTAGAGAGAACCAATATTTGATTGTACAGCTGCCTGACAGAAGGTGGGCCCCTGACAGCTCAAAACCAGCCACTTCCTTTAGGATGTGCACTTAACTCAACAGCTACATACTGGCTACGGACACACAAGAACACTAAGGCAGACACCAGCCAAGCAACTAATGTTATCAGGGCTCAAAATTATCTCCTCCTCTTAAGATTCTTCCCAAAGGGATAAATACTGTGTTAGAATAGACTAGAACAGAATGCTAAATACCTCCTGCACTTACAGCACCTTCAGAACACCTACCCGTGTGCTTTCACTAGCACTGTGACTAGTGGGTGGCCTTAGCATTCAACCAGTCAGGCAGGGACTGCAAAAAGAAAGCCTCCTTGTTGCTCTTCCCTCAGCGTCCAGATGCAGTATGGCTGGGCGACTCCTTCCAAGAGATTCATATCATACAAAAGTGACATACTGGTTTCAAACCACAGAGGTTTTAGCTTATCAGAAGTATCCCTGATACACCGTTCTTGAGCACACAGTAAATGACTTACACTCCCAGAGAGGAAAAACTACACTCAACAAATTCGGATAAATGAGCATCACCGGGTTCTCTCCTGAAATCTTACTGCCATCTCCTGCTTCTGCCACAAGTAAGTACGGAGAGCTGCAGCTAGCAGAGAGTACCTTGGAGCACAAAATCATCTCCTATGTGCTGGGTGATCTGCAGACAGTAATAGTGCCACAAAGACTGATAAACCAGAACGCAGCAGCTTTCTTGGCTGCCCCCAAACTACATTCAGGCTAGAACATAAGATTGCTATATGACAGTAAGTCTAAGAGAAGCGCAAGTGAGCAGGGAAAAAAAAAAACAAAAACACACACACCACCCCAAAACTCACCAATTAACCAAAAAAAAAAAAATCCTAACTCAAACGCTTAAAAACACTGTGTTCATAAGCAAAACACTACTACATACCAGAGAATCCATAAATGCCAAAGAAAAATTATTAAAACATATGGGAATGTTTGCTAGCATGATACCACACTGAGGAATACTGAGATTTGTTTTGAATATCTCCCCTCCCTCCCCCCACCAAGTAATCTGGACATTTTAATGTTGAAAATCGGCATGTTTTTCCCTTATATAACACTTGAATCAGTGTTGAAACAACTGTTAAAAAGGAAAAACTCCTCCTGCAGCTACACCACTGCTTGAATATGTTGGAAAAGACGGTTATAGTTAATATATCATTTTCATTCGCCTTAAAGAGGGCTTAAATCTAATTTAAATTGTTCTGTCTTGTGTGAAATACGATAGGGGTGTCTTGGGAATTGCCTTCTGTACGTTTCACTATTCATACTGTAAATTCCAACTGTGTGGAACTATAGTTGAAACTATTTTAACTGCGGTCTGTAAGATGGATTTTTAAAAATTTCTGAACTTTTCCATTTCTGATAATAAATGTTCTGTCATTTTTACTTCAAGTCTTTGCTCCTTGACTTGGTTTTTGATACATTAAAAAACCAGCTGTACAAGTGACTGAGGTCAGGAAAGAATACACCGAATTCTATATTTTCCTCACAGAAACAAAAGAGGACAAAGGATGAAAGAGTAATAGGAGGGAAAAGCAAGAAAGCATTATTTCAAGGAAGAACTTTTAAAGGGCTGAAAAATCCACTGCATAAAGACAAAATTAAGTTTTTGCCCAACCAAAATCAGTTTGTCCACCTTGGATGGCGGAGTTAATTGTCCTGTAATATGAAACTGAGATTTATGTTTTAAATCAGATATTTTGGTACCAAATCCAGTCTCTTCAGTTCTGAAACCAGGAGATGTGCCACTGAGCAGAGCTGCTGGTCGGCAGAGAAGTGGTGTTCAGTTATGCAACTGCAGAAAGCTGCCTGAAATTTTCATACAAGACCTGAAACTTTTTTTTTTTTTTTTTTTTAAAAAAGAGGATATTCAGCCATCTCAGGAATTTCAGTTTGCATGCCAAGACTGAATGACATTTCATTCTGGCCTTTCTATGCCCATTCTTTGGGGTCAGATGTTTGAGCCCTAATGGAGAGAATAGCAATGCGTCGTCTGCATGATGAAAATGGAAAACGCAAACTCTTGAGATTGCACATGGCCCTTTGCAGGGCCTCTGTTTTGTCATTAACTGTGCAAGCCTTTCAGAACTAACACTTTTCAGGGTGGCATCCGCTGCAAATACCTGAGATGCAGCAAATACATGAACATTAGAAGGGGCAAAGCTAGTACACTGCCCCATCTGCCCCTGAAGCAAGTTGGACAATCATAAGTGGGCCAATGATAGCCCAAACATAGCTATTAAAACACAAGTTACGATCATGAGATGTTAATAGAATCTAAGACAATTTTAAAAATTGACAGCATTTCATAGATGTTATCATCTGGACTGACAAACAAGAAATTTTGGGAAGCTGCCCTTACACGTCCCGAAGTGAGCTGGTGAAATCTTTTTTAGGCTAGCTCTGCTAGGCCAGTCAATCAGGACGCAATACACTCTCACACTCATCACAGTATCTTCTATTTGATCGTATGAAGCTTAGGTGTGACTTACACCTCAGTTAGATGATCAAAAATCCAATCAGAAATTTTAACAAGACCTTCAGCTATGCTGGCTTAATTATCTGTAGGTGCAGAATTATTTCTCAACTAAGTCACAGCCGCTCGATATAGTCCCATACTGAACTTGAAGATAAGGGGTAGAAATCAAGAGTCCTCACTTTTACTTACACAACGTGGCTTCTACCAGAATTTTAGTTACACAGTAAAACAGTAGAACTCAGCAGGTGGGAGAGCACACCTGCAAGTTAGTCTGTAAGCCTACAACTGAGCCTTGTGGCAGATAGTCAAATTCTAAGAAACATCTACATTCACCCTAACGGTATCCTAAGTTGGGTGGGTACTGGTGTGAGAGCAGAAATCTCATCAGTTCTGTTCCTACCTGATGAGAGACTCTAGAATGGCCGGGGTGGGACCCTTTTGAAATTCCAGCTCCTTGTAGTGAAGGGCCTTGGCATACGCTCGACATTTTGCTGCTCTCTCGCCCAGGAGGACAATACCGTTATCATCTCTCAAAGGCAGCGGACCCTGGAGAGGAGCACATACATCAAAAGCAGGATGAGAACAAAGAAGAAGAAAGCATGCATAAACTCTTCATACGCTAGACACCAGCCAGCTAGCCAGCGTTAGAAAAAGGTTGCCCTGACAGCATCTCTACCTTGTCGCTGTGTTCCATGAATTCTGCCAAGTTCAGCAGTGTCTGAGTGACCTCTGCAATGTCCTGAGAAGTCAGGGCCAATTCAATGCTTCGGATCAGTTCATCCTGCTGGTCTTCGTTCAGCTCAGACCAGCACGAAACAAAAGCAGCATTGAAGAGATCTCTGAGGATGAAAGCAAAACAGAGCGAGGTGAGGATTCATTATTCATGGAAAGAGTCTATCTGACAGTGGACTTCTCTTTCCTCAGAGAAAACAAGCTACAGAATGCATTTACATGCTTACCTGCAGTACATGGTGGTTACTCTTTACAAAGCTAACTTTTGTACCAAATACTTAAGACATATTTTTTAAAAATACATGCTAGCATGAGATACTATGCTAGAAGAAATATTGTACCATTGTACGCTAGAAGTATTTTAGGATAGAACTGACCCTTCACAGAAGCGAGGATGCTCTTCTGCCCTGAAGAACCAGATCTAGTCTGACTTAGATCACAGGCGAACGTAGTGAGAAAGCAGAGAGCTCACTTCACTGGACACACATACAACCACCCCACACACTATTATATTTTATGTGCTCACTAGACAACTGCAACAGCTGGGGGTCGCATTACTGGCAAAGCTTGGGGAAGAAAAAGAAAGGGGATGAAAAACAGATATGGCGACAGCCCTCGCCACTGCTAGAACTGTGGAGAAATACTGTGGAATGTACCAGAGATGCATTTACACTTATTCGTAAAGGAGCAAGCAGTATTTCTATCCATCTAGGAAGTGCTGGCCTTTTACGATTTTGTTTACACTTTTATTTCATAAATGCTAGAACTCACTTTAAAAGAAAAGTTAAGCAGGAATCAGCAACAGTTTTGTAACAGTATAAGTCAGATTCCTATGCAATGAGATGACAAGTGTACATCATCAAGAAGAGATAAACAGGCAAATTGCTTACAGAAACTCCAAGTTACTCCAGACATACCGGTTGCAATAGAAAAACCACAGCAGCTTATTCCACGCAGAGGAATTTTCATCCATCACAGCAGATCCTAAAAACTATTTCCTACTCTGCTGTTTTTCCAGCTTCACTTTTATGTGTTATTTCTAAACTAATAGCAGAATTCCACTAAAAGATTTTGTGCGCATCAAGGAGCTGCCAACTGGAAAGGCTGGAAATGAGAACAAGTTGCCAACTATTTGATTTGTCCCAAAGCAGGAATCACCTCTATTTAAGGAGCCTAAGAGCTTTTAAGTAACTCTCTTTTTCCTCATAATATCTGGCTTGCATCTGCAATTTCAAGTGGTCTGAAAGAGACAGAATTACTCTACCTAGCCATGGGATTATAAGCCTGAGCCAGGGCCCAGCACGAACGCAAGGATGGTGAGGAGGAATCTTTCAGCAGCTCCAGGCTCAGCCGTCTCAACCACTCCAGCCAGTCATCTTTGGAGACTCTTCTTGCTGCTCCCCAGGCCTGCAATACAAAGCAAGACAACTCAACTACCGGTGAACCATGATCCAAAAGCAGAAGAAATCCATCAACAGATGGCGTTTCTTCTTCACAGCTCCAAATCACATCAGCTGAGATTCCCTTTTCAATTCTTTGAATGGATTACCATTACAAAATAATTTGCAGTAGTTCAGTCTCATTTCTACCCTCATTATCTACCCTAAACATATTCCTGTCATGACATAACAAGCACTTAACGTAAATAATTCTTCCCCTACAAAAGTGCACCAACAGCTGAAGCCATAGTTGAAGCATCAGCTTAAAAACACCCGGAGTGTTTAGAACTACATTTGCAAACTCGTTTTTCAAATTGGTTCAAACCAATCCATCCTCCTACCGAACTGAGTGCTACATGCGCTTACTGTTCAAATTAGCCAGTTGTTATCTATCAAGCGCTACACTGGTTTCAAGAGCATATAATAAAAACTAAAATATGAGAGAAGCGGCTTATAAAAAAGGCAGAGGCTCTGAAATAGATGTCTCTAGAAGCTACAGGCGATTTCTTGCGAGAAAGGAAGTCTTGCTCATTACTTCATGGTCCTGTACAGTGATAATTCAGCTGCTTCTATCTGTAAGGTGCCCAGCACCTCCAAACTTTAAAGAGAATCTCAAACACTACCTTGACCTCAGTCTTATACAGAATCAGCAATAGAAAAGAGATGCGAATGTTATTTAGATGCACTGGACAAATTCCTTAGCAGAGACCAAACAGCACCTCCCTTCAATAGCAAACCCATCAAGTGAAGAGTTCCACAGACCTACCTTCTGCAAGTTGATGGTGCTAACATGCAATTTCTTCATAGGACCTGTTTCCACAGGACCACTGGCCAAGGTTTCTCCCTGGTTGCTTCTCAACATTCGATGCTGATAGATCAGGGGATCCTCCTCTTCGTCAGCAAGAGTATAGCCCTGCAACAAATGACTCAGAATGAAGACCACACCCACACATACAAAAGCAATTTTCCATACGAGCCCAATCTGTGACACAGTCAGGGCACTATCCAATTTTACAGCTCAATTTGGGAAGGGAACAACAGCGTTTCATAATACTGATGATTACACCTCAAATTCATATCCCACGTCTATTCACGGTAACAGTTAAGAAATCTTAGCTCCTACTACTGAAAGGCAGAGAATAATACACCACCATCGAATAATATTCCTTAAAACAAGCACTGACACTCCTACTTCTCAGTATCTCTAGTAAATTCAGAATAGCAGTGTGCTGCTTGTCCTGCATCAATCAAACTACAAAGCAGTTACTGAGTTTTAGAAATATGGGACATATTACAAATATATCGAGGGAGAACAGGTCTCCTGAAGTCCTGACACTGTGGAAACAGCACGGAAAACCCAACGTTTAAAAACTGCTGAAAGAAAAGTAACGAGACCGGCTACAAGTTGAAGTCCCCGCCTAGAACTTCCAGTGATTTTTCTGTAGGAAGTAACCTGATACCCACTGATACAAACTTTCCCAATGCAATCTTAAAGTCTCATCAAAAAAAATTCACTAAATACAGAAAAAGAAGATTTTTTTTTTTTAAGGCTCTAGAAAGCCTTACAGTAAGAACAATGTTCTGTACTCTATGTTTTCAGTACATGAAAAAAAAAAAAAAAAAAAAAACACCCCTATACTTATCACACAAACGCAGCAACTGTTCTTCATTTCCGATTGCTGCATACAACAGTCTGCAGCTACATCAGTTTTCACATGAAAGCATCCTCAAAGTATCCTTATGCAAACAGCTATAATCTTGTCAACTCACCTTTACAATCCTGCAGATGAGAACATCATAGCGTTGATGGTTAATTCTGTGTCGCACCAGAACTTTGTTCACCATTGGGATAAAAATCTGATACTGTACAGGGGAAGGCATCAAAAGCTATTTATTCAGTCTCACCATGAGCAATAGAATTCCACCTTCATTTCATTAATCTTATAAGAAACTGATTTTAAACATTTGATTTCAATAATTCCCGATTCCAGAACCAACTAAGAGAGGGAAAATCTGTTTTCTTTAAAATCCCAAATGACTGCATTATGAATATTCAACTTTAAAGCCTTGAATTTTGGGGCAGTCCCTTCCTTTAGAAGCTTGCAAACCTAAGAAGAACATTACCTTCTTTCCCAGCTGGAAAACCAGAGAGGAGAGTGTGTCCATTGCAGTTGTCCGCAGCTCAGGGCTCTGATCTAGTGTTCGCACAATAGGATGAATAATCCTTGAAGCATAATCAGTGAAATCCAGGGATTCTGTCAAGCGATCCACTGTTTCTAGAGCAGCTCTGAAGTCAGAGCAGAAAGAAGGGAGGACTTGTTACTTCTCGTGGTGCATGACAGGAGAAACATGACGATGTAAAAATACATCAGCAATTCACGTCCAGACCTCCTAGGTATCAGCAGTGATAAGAAAAACGTATCACCAGAACGCTAATTAACATGGCCAGGACTTGCAGGACAGCTTGCAAGTTGCAGTGACTAGCATACCGGCCGGTGAGAACGAGAAAGTAAAAATCTATATCCAAGAAGAGCTAACAATAGCACTGTGACATCCAAATGAAATTAATCTTCCATATCATTTAACACAGAGAAAACAAAGCCTGTGAACGGAGCTACGTGGTATTTCATTCTGCACAGGGCCAGAGCAGCCACTGAGAAACCCAGATATTGCAGACAAAAAAGAGCGTGCAAAGCCACCGACACTTACTTGCGAGCCACCACTGGGACATCTGGGGCATCAAATAGCTTTACAATGGGAGGTAGTAACAAGTGAAGGTAGTCATCCAGGTTAGCTCCAAAGAGCTGGATTGCATTCAATAGCTAGAAGGAAAGAGAACCCAATATGACTCAAAGTCATGAAAGGAATGCATTTTAAATAATACAGTTTCTTTGAGCCTGCACTCTAAACGGAGTACTGCCTGCACCATTTCACCCCAAGCCACTGCTGAACTGTACCTACCCAATTTGCTTGCAACACACACACAAGCACGGGAAGACCCTCTGGAGTTTGGCACATCAGGCACACCTGCCTAGGCAACAGCAAGTCAAACCAAAGCGAGGCTTCCCGCTCACCTTGACAGAGACAATGCGACTCTGGCTATTGTCATGCATGAAGACCCGTAACATGTGAGGAATGAGCTGAGGCAGATAGAGCTTGAACTCGCCTCCTAGAGCCACCACAATCTGCTCAATAAGTAAGATAATTGTGCTCTGTATGGAGTTGTTCATGACCCAAAAATCCTGTAGAAGGAAAATGAAAAAATTAAACGGTTCTCCTTCAGATGAGCTGTACCAGTTACAAGAAAAACAATCTGTGGGAAGATAGTCTTTAGACAAATTCAAAGTTGCAGGGAAGAACTCTACTTCCCTTAAGCAGTTCTCTAATTAAGTTGGCATTTTGCATCTGTTTTTTAAATACTGAGGGTCTTCAGGGTTCGTTAGAACCTACTTAAGGACTCCAAGCATCTCTTGTTAAAACATTCCCGAAAGAATTAAGCGCGCAAAATCCAAGTGCTCAAAAGAACTTAGACATGAACAGTATCTAGGAGCTGCTCTTATTCCAATTACTAAGAAGAACGCGTACATATCATTTAACTGTTGCTTCAAATACACATAATTCTCTTTGGAATTTTATGCTTAATATGATTTTATGAAGTAATCAATACATTTGATAATGACAGAATCATGACTCACATTTTCTGACACTAAATTGATGGCTTAAAGATTGAACTCACTCTCATAAGGGTGACGATTTCATCCATATAGGGCCGAATGTGACTTCTCACAAAGGACACTAACATCCCTAGCTGCTGGAACAGGAACTGGAAGGAAGAAATGAGTAATGATCAATAAAGCTATCCAAACATCAGAGTAACTCTGGGTAAACTGTGTTTCAAAGGCCAACTGCAAGCTCATTCACCAAACAGCATGCATAGCTACTATACGCTCAAAGTCTGGGGCTAAGTTCTTGGCAGCCTCAGCTCAGGTTTTGGGTTGGTTTAAATTCACACCCAAAGTTTTATAAGCTCAAAGCATTAGACAGTCTTGCACACAAACAGGGATTTAAGTAAGCAAACTTGTAACGTGTCAAAACAGGCTCGTTAGCACAAACACCAAAGCTTCAGCTACCGCAGCTTTGTAATTTAGGCTCGAAGGATGCTTCCAAAAATTTAGCCCCTAAACTTTTTCCTCTGCCTGTAAGCCAAACTGGCACACATTTTAAGATACTTTCTCTGTACTC